AGGGCAGGGAATGACAATCCTCTTTTCCTTCTGCTACTTCATGTTGCTAGGACCAAAGATGACCATCAGTGATCTGACACTGCTGCTGCCTTCCTTGCACTCCCAGGAAAAATGCAGAGCCCCGCGGCTCCAGTGCTGCATGAGGATCTGCTCCGCCAGTGAGGATGAACCAACTGTGAAACGGATGGAATAAAAGCAGTGGGGAGGGGGGAAACCCAGCTGCAGCCTGGGAGTCCCACCAGCCTGTGGGACATGGGGAGACCTGTAGGAAATAACATGAAACAGCCATGCACAGGAGGAGCAAATCGCCTGTGAGTTATAGAAGATGGATCCCAGAAGCAAATGCCAGTTCCCAAAGGGGCAATGGCCCTAGCACCCAGGACTCCTGGGTCCTGCCACGGTTTTGGACTTGTTCACCTCTCCCTGCACCTCTGTTTCTCATGTCTCTCTTTCAGAGACATGAAGAAGGATCTCTGCTGGCAGGAGCTGCCTTCTCCTCATTTAACTCAGCACTGAGAGGAAGCCCCTGCAGTGCTGTACGGTGGGGGAACCGCGCCACAGGATGGGCCCCACTTTCTGGCATGGAGCAGCTCACATTCCATCTGTGCCAGCCAGGGCTCTGCTGCCACTGCCCTGCGTCTTCACGGTGCCACCACAGGGCCCATGCTGTGAGCAGTGTGGGTGACAGGACCACCACGGACCAGCTCTGGTCTCTCATCCCTCTAATGGCATGTTGGGGGGGATGACGGGGACATGCACACAGGGCTGGCCATTTCCCGAAGGCCCCGTATAGTGAAACCGTGGCCTTAGGTTAATGTAGCTCTGTTAATCACCCGGCTTGGAGGACAGGGTAGTGAGCACATGAAAAGTAGAGCACTGTTAGCAGGATGCAGCCGTGGCCTCTGCAGCACAGAGGGGAAAGGGTCTTGAGCTCCAGCCAGGAGTGGTCAGAAGGAAGCAAAATGATGGGATGCAAAAGCAATGAGCCTCCTGAGACCCAAATCTTTCCTATCAGACTAAGTTATAAAGTGTAGTGCTTTGTCTGGGAGCCAGGGCTGGATATATAATTTCCTACAAGGTGTTTCTGTCAACACCTGGCTGAAGGGGGTTGTGTGGCAGGGGGCCATGTGCACATGCATAGTTTCTACATGAGATCTTGTTGCTTGGAGCAATGGGTCTGTGTCCCAGTGGCACAGAGGTGTGTGGGGGGGTTATGGTATTGCCCTAGGATGGACTGTGTGGCTGGTTGTCTGTGAACATTTGCGTTGTGTTCTGGGATTTGGGCTTGACTGTGTAGGACCAGCACCAGGTGTCTGGGTAGCTTGGCCAATGATGGGATCGATGTAACATTACCCAGTGTCTGTGTGTCCTGGCTTCTTTAGGGGATCTAAATGATTTTATGGAAATATTTGTTTGGTTTGTGGGAATTTTGTCATTCATAAGATGTGATCGTTGTGTACTGACTACAGTGTCTGCATAGTCAATGCTGATGTAGGTTTTCCCCAGGTTGGAAGTGCAGACAGCATGGCAGTGAGGATGGATGCTGGTCTCCATCTGTCCGTGTATCTCAGTACAACACAAGCTCAAGGACATCATGCCAGGCGGTTCAAGATGTTTCCACGCTGAGTTTGGAGATACTGTGACAATGAAGTGGAAGAGTTTGCTGGGAGATATAATCTTGAAATCCAAGTGTTTGTTGTGTCCAAAGCTTTTGCATGAAGGACTATCTGTGAATGGGATGGTCACACAGAGGGTAGCAAAGATGACACTGATGGGGAAATTGGATTATACTGGGTAAATTAAAGGGAGATTGCCATGGTCCAAACTTACATTTCAAGTGGTAGAGGGACTGGGAGTGGTTTCTGTGAGTCCTGGTAAGTCTTTACCAAAGGAATCATGGTTGGAGAGGAAGGGTCTGGCAGGATTCCCCTGCCTGCAGATCCTGAGCAGCACATATAAAGCCTTGGAGCAGAAGAATTGGGTCCAGTAACGACATGAGGGAAATGGGGTCTCCCCTGCATGCCCTATAAGCCACTAGAGTGAAGTGATTAAGTAAGCTGAATGAGAGCACCTCAAACCATCTTCACAGCTGAGGATTTTCATCGCTCCTCCCAGATCGATCACTGGTGGCCAGACCTCATGTCTGCTTAGCTTTCCCTTCTGAGGGAAAGAAACAGGCTGCGGCAGTTGTGCTTATTGCAGCATTGACTCCTTTCCTGAGAAGAGCCCAGGTCCCAGGTCTGCAGTGGAGCTGCACCTGCAAAAGTGGCTTTGGAGGATGTTGTTTTGCCTGGGAGCTCCCCATTGGTGAGAAACCATCTAGGAATGGCTTCACCTTGGCTGTCAAAAACACATTCTCTGAGGTGGAGTCAGGGATGGGAGTCCTCTAATTCCCCAGAGGAATTTCTGTGTGGTTGGGCTGCTTCTGCAGGCAGAAAGGCAAGCCTGCGGCCAGGCAGGGCATGTCTGGGTGAGGTGTGATGGTGAACGGGCGAGTGACGTCTTTGGGAGGGCTCAACACGACTTGTGGAATAGTATACGATGTTTGGTTATTAGCACTATTAGTCTTTCAGGACAGTGTGTAATTAATGACTTGGCAGGTGCTGAAGCACTCTGTTAAATGACCGGTTATGGGACACACATCACTGGCCCTTCCCCATGCCCGGCCGCCCTCCCGGTAGCCACAGGGCCGGTGAGACCTGGTGTGCAGGGTGGCCTAGGGCAGTGTACGTGAGTGTACGTGTGTGTATGTGTGCGCACACGTGTGTACGTGCAGGTGCGCGTGCATGTGTATGCGCATGTTTTCGTGTGTATACGTGTGTATGTGTATAGGGATGTGCATATGTGTGTATAGGTATGTGTGTGGGTGCATGTATAGACCTGTGCATGCATGCATGTTTTTGCATGTGTATATATGTATGCATCTGAACATACATGTCTGTGTATACATATATGTGTGTGCATACATGTCTGGGTGTACATGTGCATGTATCTGTGAGTGGGTTGTTTGTTGGCAGGAAGGAGGAAAGGAGACGGCTGCTTCGGGAAGGAACTTACTCCCGTAGGATACAGCTATGGATAATGTCACGGGACTTGCAGGGAAGCAGAGCAGAGCCCCTGCTGGGTTTGGGCACTGACAGTGCTGCTGCTCGCGCTTGCAGCCGTCTGTGCAAGGTCCCCTCGGAGCCGCTCACCCCTCTGCCGGGCTTCTCCTTGGGATGAGCAGACAAATCTCTTTGTTTCATTTAATTTCTTCTTAACGGTAATGAATGGGGGGAAGGAGTGTTTTTAAGAGAGGTTATATACAACATACCCTTCTTGTGAAAGCCCTTTCGAGGGAGGTGATCCTGCCCCTCTACTCAGCCCTGGTGAGGCCGCATCTGGAGTATTGTGTCCAGTTCTGGGCTCCACAGTGCAAGAGGGATGTGGAGCTGCTGGAGAGAGTCCAGCGCCGGGCTACAAGGATGATCAGGGGCCTGGGACATCTGCCCTATGAGGAGAGGCTGAGGGGGCTGGGCCTGTTCAGCCTGGAGAAGAGAAGGCTGAGAGGGGCTCTAATCAGTGTATATAAATACCTCAAGGGAGGGAGTGAGGAGGACGGGGATGGTCTCTTTTCAGTGGTGGGCACTGATAGGACTAGAGGAAATGGCCGGACACTGAAACATCAAAAATTCCATAGGAACTTAAGGAAAAATTTCTTAACAGTGAGGGTGACAGAGCACTGGAACAGGCTGCCCAGAGAGGTTGTGGAGTCTCCTTCTCTGGAGATCTTCAAAACCCGCTTGGATGCAGTCCTGTGCCACGTGCTCTAGGTGTCCCTGCGTATGCAGAGGGGTTGGACTAGATGATCTCTAGAGGTCCCTTCCAACCCTAAGCATTCTATGATTCTATGATTCTATGCGTGGACATGCGTGTGCAGACGTGTGTGCATGTGCCACCTCCGGGAGCGCCGGCTGCTGGGGAATGAGATGCTCAGGGGGCCCTGCTAGTCCCACACTAGTCGTAGCGGCCCTTCCGAAAGCCCGAGCGAGGCCGCCTGGCTCTGCACGTGTGCCCATGAGGTGCTGGGCAGGGAACTGCATTTTGGGAAGCACCAATGCAACAAGATGACCTGGGAACGAGATAGAGGGGCCCAGCTGGCACCTAGGCATGGCCCACCAGGGATACAGGAGGGAAAATGTCATTTTCCCCTGTTAGCCTTTATCCATGATGCAGTTTGGGCATGGCACATTCTATGCTCATTCACACAGGGGAATGAGGTTCATGTGAACTGTGTGTAAAATAAGCACTACATATGATTATGAACAATCATAATGGGCCTAGGTGTCCCATGCTGGATGTGTAGCTCAGCCCAACTCACTTATTCTCTGAATGCTTACACTTATTTTGAGTACAGCTGTGGTAGACAGTTCACCTTTCATCCTCTATCATGAAATATCCTACAGGCCTTATCTAAGATATCTTACTTAGAGCACTCTCACAGTTCAGGATAAACCCTTAACTGATGGTTGCAGGTTTTCAGGAAGAATTTGGTTCTCATCTGAATATGATAAAGTCCAAGCTGGGTTTGCCACCTCAGAGCAGAGCTGCCCTGAAGAGGGATGGTCCTGCTGGAGTTGCAACATCCCTGTTTTGCAGCAATGCAAAGCAAGACACAGAGAAATGAATTAAACTGCTGGAGATTGTGCAAACACCAGCTGAAGAGTTGGAACCCGAACTAAAATAATCTGAGTCTTAAATCTGTGACCTCTCATTAGGGGACACGTACCAGATGGGATGGGTTAAGAACCCCAACAACAAAAATCTGGTTCAGCCTGGGGTGCTGAATCGTTTCTGTAACAGCACCACATTTAGGGAATGTTTCCCACTCCCGTAACCCACAGCTCGCTGCAGCCAGCTTGCCCAGCTCGCGCGGCCCCTTCCAGCCCCGGAGGGGGTTTGCCAAGGCAGGTTGGGCTGTGGCAGATTCTCCCTTATGGTTTCTATAGGTTGCGTATGGGATGTCCACGCCGATCCGCAACGCCGCGCCAGGCTCCGGTCCCGCAGAGCGCAGGCTGGTCCTGCCGCCCCACATCAACCTCGCGGTGCTGCCTGTGGCCCAGTCAGTTTGGTACCGCTTGGTGTTTCTAAGCAGCGGAAATAATCCTACGCGGGGGTTTGCGCGGAGCTGCTCGGGTCAAAACGTTACGGGGGCTCCTGCTCTGCCTTACTGGAGAGGCCCCGTTTTCCAGAGCTGGCTCAGCTGTTTCACGGAACAATGTGCAAACTGCAGCTCCCTTTGCCAGATATTTATTCACATCCAACATCTGGTGACTTTGGCACCTTTTCTCCCAGCCCAGCTGAAAACGGCCTTGCTATC